AGATGGTGTCATTCAACGCCATTCTAACTCGATCAAGCCCTTGCTGACTGAATCGAACAAATTCACTCGTCTTCCATTATGCCTTTCAATTATACGGCCCTCAACCAACAAGTTCCACGATATGTACAACGTGGTGCACATTGACGAGAAGTGGTTCTACATGACATTAGCAAGGAAGTTGTATTATCTTAGCAATGGAGAAGAGGAACCAATTTGCAGTTTCAAATCGAAGAGATTCATTGACAAGATCATGTTCTTGGCTGTAGTCGCACGCCCAAGATACGATCATCATCTTAAGCGAATGTGTCCGAGGAAGATCAGGATCTGACCCTTCGTCACGATCGAATCAGCCAAGCGGAACAGCAAAAACAGATTAGCAGGGACTCCAATCACAAAGTCTATCAATATCACAAAAGACATTTACTTGGGCACATTGATCGATAAAGTTCTCCCTACAATCCGTCAACAGTGGCCTCGTGATGGAGCTTCACGTCCAATCTACATCCAACAAGACAACGTGAAGCTGCATATATCACCATCAGATCCAATCTTTCTCGAGGCATCAACAAAGTACGGATTCGATAACCGCCTTTGTTGCCAGCCGGCAAATCCTAGACACTAACGTCTTGGACCTTGGTTTTTTCAATGCTATTCAAGCGTTACAACATCAAATTGCACCGAAGATGATCGACGATCTGATAACAGCTGTAGAGCACACTTTCAATGAGCTTGAGGTTGAAAAACTCAATTACGTGTTTCTAACATTGCAATAGTGCATAATTTGCACAATGGAAGAAGAAATAGGAAACAGATACAAGCTTCTGCATATGGCAAATAGCAAGTTGGAACGCGCTGGAAACCTTTCGACCGTGCTAACTGTCAACCTAGGCCTCTTCGAATGAACCAAAGCGTCAATTCAAGCCATTTAAACAAATGGAACAATTCATCTAGAACAAAATTTTGTGTGCAAACTCGACAGTTTATACGGAATATAGAAAGTATATGTAATGAAGTACTTTTATTTTAAAATTGAATAATTAAATTAGAGCCAAAGAAGTTAGGAGTAATCAAAATCTAGATGTTGCATCGATGACGCAATGTCAATGATGGTAAGTTGTATGTATCACAAAAATCGGTTTAGGGTTTCAACTAAACTAGATGTACTATGCGCGGCGAGTTTGCTTGTGGCACCGAAAATATAATTTGTGTGTTTCCGTGGATGTAATCAAAGGACAAATCATATTATTTCCTGTGTTTTATGTCGTGTGAAATTGTGCAACAAAGAAAATTATAAACAAAATGATTCATGTCTTGATAAAATATTTGAATGACTCAACGTTTTCTAAACCTTGATTGTTCAAAACTTACTGTTGCTCAAAAATTATTAAAAAACATAAGTAAACATTTTACACTTCATTTATTTACCAGTGATATAAATTATTTACAATCATTTGATTCTTTCATAAATCTAAGTATTTAATGAAAATAAAATTAGTGTTTCAACTTGATTTTTCATGCAAAGAATGCAATGACATAACAATTCATCAATGATGATTATTTAATTACTGAACATTTGAAAATTAAATTTTAACATCCGAATCAACAGATTTCTCTAATAAATTTTCATTTCCTAATACTTTTTTAATTTAAGCTAAATATCATATAACTATAAATTAAAATCAAAGTATTATCAATCATAATTTTTATGCTCAAAATATCATTTTTCAAAAAAAAAATTAATATTGATAATAAAAGCAAAATTGTAAAATAATAGTGAGACTACTCTTCAATCTATGTCAAATATATCAGCTAAGCAAAAGAAATCTAAATTTTTGGAGTTAAAAGCTTCATTCTTTAGTGGAAAATAACGTGTGAATATGATTTATGTTTTAAAAATATCATTATTTAGATTATTATATGCACTTCAATATTTCTTTACAAATCGAAAATTTGACTATAATTTTCGAATTAGAATTATTAAGGAGTCACATTATTTCATTTCATCTTTATGTTTATATATTTTTTCATTCAATTTTTACATTTTAATACAAAAATATGCTTCAGTTGTCCAAAGAATGATAAGTAATTCATGAACAATGTATTTATAATTTTAAAACACTGTGAAAAATGTAAAAATGACTATATTTTTTGACATATGACATAATAAAATCATTGCTCAAATGGTGTTCGCAACAATATAAAAATTCGAATTTTTCTGAATTTATGAGTTTTTTACAGAAAAGAAGTCCTTGCGCGGATACAAAAGTCAAAAAATAGTACTTTACTATATGAATTTATACTATTTCATCTGGTTATCCGTTTTGGTTCTATAGCCTAAGATTGAAAAGGAAATATAGGTGATTTCCAAAAACACTAGTTTCCAAAGAGGAAATGAGTGGATTCATCACAAAATTCAATCTATACGCCACACATGGAGGTGGAGATAGCAGGAGCAATCTAAGTGTTATGTAGATTATTAAAAAAAAAAATGTAGATCTTTTGTTACTTTAGACTTGAAAGTAAATGAAGGTTTGGGCAGTGACAACTTAGTGAAAAAGTGTAGGAGGCTACCATATCAAGGTATTGGATGGTCATTTTTAATTATATTTTGAAAAATTATTTATAGAAAGCAACGCATAACTTCACAAAAATATAAGAGGATGATTCTTGGCATAATTCAATAAAAATTGAGATACTGAATATAAATAATTGTCATGTTTTAGGTGAAGTACAACATAGTAATCATTGTGATGTAATCGGGATATAGTTTATCTATTCTCTTCGGTTTGTCCAAGTACAAGTTGTTGGAATACTCTCATACTTTATGTTATTTTACCAATCACTTATATGTTTTTCATTCTTAATTCAATTCAGTCTCCACAAAGTAAGTTTTGAAGAGGTTGAAAGTTGTGTTTTAATCTTTGTTTCCATCTATTTCCAAGTAATATACATTTCATCCATGAAATTTCGCCATAAACATAGTGTTGATCTGTAAAGTGCGCTCTTAAACTGGATAGAATTTGATTTACACATTTGAAGTATTAACTTCATTAATTAAGTTGGTAATTTTTTTTCTATCTTTCTACTTGCTAAAAGTACTGCTACTTAATATTCTTGTGAACTGAGATTGAGTAAATATTTCCACACATGATGCTAATTAGTGACATCTCTGCATTTATGAAATCCTGATCTATTGGTATCTTAGGAAAAATAAATATAGAAATATCTTATTTGGTGACATTTTATTTAGATAAGTTGTATAACTTTCTGACAAACTTCGACTGAGTCATACCTCCTTTCTTTTCCTTTCCTCATTTAGCACTATATCCGAGATATGATTCACTTACCATGAATAAATAAATGGGTAATATTCTTCAATGTTTGTAGTATTTCAATAATATCTCCCACATTTGTCTGCTTGTTGGGGATTGATATTCCATCCAAACACTTGAGTCGGATATAACTTTTGAAGAATCTGGAGTGAAATTGAATCAAATATTTCTCTTGATTTAGTGAACTACTGACAAGATAATTACCATGGATAAACATTCAACATAGGCGATGTTGTTAAAAGCTTGCTCCTTTCTTAGTGTACAGCTGAGTGAATCATTCTCATATATTATATTCTATTATTGTATATTATATTCTAGGTGCTTATAGAACCTATTGGTAACGGAAAATGAAATGTAGGACACTTTTGTCGGATCAGAAGGAATGACATTTTGATGAACTCGGACTTGAATCAAATCTTCTTTCCATATGTTGTGGACTACCCTCTAGATATTATTCAACTACCATGGTTAGAATTACTCCGGTAAACGAAAATATGAAGAATGTTTCCTAGTGACAGCTAATTAAAGAATAGTATCTCCACATATTTTTTATTGATAACTTATTGTATGTCACTAAGGAAGAGAAATGAACTGAGCTAGGACACTTTAGTCAGATATTGAGGATGACTTTTTGGCCAAGTTGGACTTGGTTGAATATGATCTTATTTGCTTATTGCTTGGAATCTTGGCCACCGAACCTATTTCCAAATTCTGATTTCTCTTTCGGATTAAATTTCCTAAAAAAGAGTCCCTCACTGTACATGTATGTTCTTGTTCTCTTCTGCCGTTCAGCATGTGAGGTGAGATCCTGAAAGAACGATGGAGGAGACATATGGGGACCATGGTTCAAGTCAGCAGCATTTTCGATATTGAGATGAAGATCTGATTTCGACGATCAGTCATGAGTCGATTCAATGTTGCTGTCGATGGCGTACACGACGATGTCTAGTTTACATGTGGGAAAAACTGAATCTACTCTTCGAACTTGTTCTTGTTCACAATCTTCTTGGCTCTCTTCAGTTGTACTATTCTCGTGAACTACAAGTTTGGGGTCAATATTCTAAAATGCCATATGCAGGTTACATTATTCATAATATTATCTCAACTGTATTGGACAAGGTTGCTTTCTGCAGGTAATCTAGGTGAAACTTCGTTCCTTCTATGCAAATTTTACTGGAACCTACTCCAACACTTTACACCTCTGATATTGTTGGTCACTGCAGGTTTTGTCTGGAGGCTTGGTTTTCATGCAATTTCAATATCTTCAGACTGGACTGCACTTAGTAATTCAAGTTAGAGTTTATTGTTACTTTTCAAATCAAATAAGTCACTCGCCCAAAGAGCGGTAATCTAATCATCCTCCGTGTGAAAGACGGTCGTATCGATAGTACGTATCCCTTAGATTCCAGTATTTAGTTCCAAAAATGGTTCGCGTTGTGCGGAAAACGTGTAAGCCAGAATAATCATCCATCCACGAGGATGGCAGCTCCTCTGTGACTACGACACTCATAACGGATATCGACATAGTATCAGGACTATTTTAACTCCCCGTGAAGAAATAAAGTCTGTGATCCATCCCATGAAAGCACTGGGGTCCAACACATTGGCAGGTAGGCAACTCCGAAACAGTTCACTATAGATGGTCTCCAGAAGATACACTCAAAAAATGGGCACAGCTTGAGAACTACTTTCCGTGTTAGAAAACTGTCGGGTTCAACCGTGCTCGTCCGAACTTAAGAATGATGATGTTGCTAGCGCCTCAATCATGTGAGGTGTAACGAGTACACGAATGACAAGAACGGCTCGGGTGCTCAAAAAGCTCCTCTGTCCACGAGGGGAGTCAATTCAGTAGAATAAAATTATATTGCTCTCAGGGCATTTCTTCCTATACAACCCTAAGAAAGAAAGTCTACTCGGCCCTATTGACAATTTAGAGCTCCTGACACAGCAGCTCTACACAGTTGATTCTGTCCTGCTTCATTTCCTAAGGGAAGGTTTAAATCAATGATAAGGCTTCTAAGTCATCAATGCATGCCTAAACTCAGAGACAGACTGCCGTAGATTCGACAGTATACGCCAGCAAAATTGATTGTGAATTTGTCAGGAAAGTCAAGTGAAATATACACCACTTGACTCCCATCAGGGGACTCATTTCAGGTAGCTAACCTGGTTGACGACCGAACCCCTGTAATCTACCTCTTTCGAAACGCTAACAATTGAAGAAGCGGAAAAGGCCTCCTCTGGTTTAAAAAAAAAAGGTCTCTCCAACTCACGGCTCTCTTTACATTACAAGGTTTGCAAGTCAGGTCTATGAAGCGTACGGACTGGCCATAGGAGATGGAGCGTTTAAACCACCTTTGCGAAGAGATAGTACAGCCTGCTGTACAGTTCTCTGAACAAGCTCAGCAACTGGCTGTAATCTGCCCAGTCCCTGATCATTCCCAGGTACATAATGATCTACTGCATTGGTGATGACCACTTTACTGTGCTCCCAATCTTCCTGCCTTACCCAACAAGCTCGACCACCATGACTACCTTCCACGTTCACGACCGACAATCGGGACGGTTCACTGAACTGATACCTTAACCTAACCGCAACACATTGTGGCAACCACCCGGCACCCCCCGCTACGTTGATGGGTGGTAACTGATGTCCATCTAGGTACAGAGTGAGAGTGAACTCAACAATGTTTTGAGCCCGTATGTGTCGAATGCTGCTCTTTGCCGTCGAGCTTGTCCCTTGTGCTCCTGCTTCCTCTTGCACTGGAGAAAAAGCTGAACCTACTCGATTTTCAAGGCAAAGTTCTATCTTGGGGCGAGATGTTTGAGTACCATCCCCACCTTGACTTTGGTTTGCTGAAGCCTTTTGCAGCTCTTTCTCCCAGGCAATAAGCTTCAGAAACTCGCGAAGAGTTGGAATTGGCAGCGTCAGCATGGTTACAAATGATGCCAGCCGAGATGCATCATATGGCTCAGATGCAACTCTTCTTGCAAAAAAATCGCCAATTTCTGCCATCTCTGGGTCGCTGAGCTCGTTGTCAGGTCCGCCAGATTGACCTTGCGCATGCGCATTCTGCTGCTGCTGGAACTTCTTAACATTGATGGCTTGTAGGTAGAGCTGTTGCCGGTGCATGCTGACCGCAAAAACACAATTCCTGCAAACAGAAAGCTTTTGGTTGGCATCAAGCAGGTACCATCTTCGTACCGGACGGTCATCCCTAGCGTGACAAGACTAAAAATGTAAAGACATTGGTGGTATAGCATTCTTCAGTCCGTAATGAGCAAGAACAAGAAATCAAATGAGAAGACTCAGAGCATACCCAATGTAAAATCGAAGAGCAGGTTGCTCAGGATCATGATTCAAAAGAGCTCCCTCATTCTCTTTTAATATCTCCCCCAGGACTTCTCGCAGTATGGTCGGAAACTGTGCAAAGAGCCACAAAACACCCAGATAACGTAGAATTCCACGAAGGACCTTCTTCAGAGCTGCAAGAGGTACCCAGGCACCTCCATAACCACCATCATCACCCAGCCCAAATATAGCTGTGTATTCGCTCCTTAAACCAGCACTCGGTCCACTATTCAGGACCCGCCCTGTATTTACTGCCATCACTGAACTGTTTGAAGGCCCACCTTGCAACGTCCCACCTCGAGGCGCCATGACAATAGCATTATTAACCATTCGGGGGCCAATCATGGAGCTGCTATTGCCACGCAATGAAGGGGCAGTGGCATTCATTCCACCACCCCAACCTGCTGACATACCGGGACCGAAACCCGTCTGACTTACTCCATTCCCGGAAAGGTTGCCGGGAGGACCAGCTCCTGAAACGGTCTCACCTGTTTGAAGACCGATAGCGACATGCTCCATGACGAAAGGACGAAACTGGGGACAGGGTAGCGAACCTCCAGCAGAAGTTCCACCACTTCGAGGAGGTGGGGCTGGTTGCAACCAAACCTGATCGCCGGCAAAGCAGCGCATATCCATAGCAAACTGCCTACGATAAACAATACGGATCCAGAAGGGAGTCCTCAACAAAACTGAAACATCTGTAGGGAGTAAGGAGCTTGGAACCAATCCCGGTATAATTGGTCTTCCTGGACCAGAGGCAAGGCCTGCAGCTTGCGAGCCTTGCATGTTTGTTCCTGTATTACCCATATTCAGAACTGAGGTTGAGCCATTAGGCAATCTAGCCTGAGCTATAGCTGAAGCGGTAGTCGTTGAGCTTGGAATCGGAGAAGACACCTGACCGAGTAATAAACCACCGCCAGTAGGTTTGGATGCGAGACCGGAATTGATAACTCCCTGAACAGAGCCGCTAGGTATAACAGCACTAGTCGCAGGGCCCAGCATGCGAGCTGGTCTTATGGCTGCAGCAAGTGCCTGCAAAGGCCCAACAGAGACTCGTATCGAATCCAAAAGAAGTTCGACTTCGCCTCCATTTATGTAATCTTCAAGATACTGCAAACCATGCACAACTTCAATTAGTTTTCAAAGCACGTTGACCGCAATAACGACATGGGAAACAACGCACGGGAAGCGCTACTTACGAAATATCAATCATTCAAACATATAATACGGAACTTCAGAACAAGGGAAAACTATACAACATGAAACACGGAAAACACAGAAAAGAAAAGACAGGAGGATCCAAAATCTCTCAGTTGAATAATTTCCAGACACAAGATTAATCAACCGCATTGCTTGATATTCGGAGAGGTTCAAAAGACTTGGAAAAGTCTCCGGGGTAAAGAAAAGAAAGCTAAAAGAAAAACAGTATCGATACACGTGTCAAAAGTTTCAGTAGCATGGACACTAAAAATGTATATGCTCAATGAGTGACTAAAAGTACGTGTCTCGAGGAATATCCCAACCCAACATGAACAATAGAAAGAATACACCACTACAAGATAGTTATAACTTCATCATCATATCGTCGAGTTAGTTGTATTGGAGAGCCAGTTCCAATCGTCACGAATCCTGTAATACTATGGCAAAGCCAAAGGGGAGACCAAGAAAAAGAAAAAACATCAAATGTTGAAAAAGTAAACTGGTATATAGAATTTGGGAATCCAGGGCAAGACTCTGGCAACTGTATCTAGTACTAACTGTAGCAGTTTCATTTTTCATACGCAACATTGATGAGAACCGTCCTGAGTCAAATGAAAACGTTCACCTTCCATTCGACTCGTTATTTCAAGACCCCGATAAATAGTGACAAAGTCAACGAAGACATTTGAACTTAAAACTATTCAAGTATCGATGCTCTAGAATCACCTAGACGTAACCTTGACAGTTCCCTGGCCTCCAGGCTGTAACAAGCAAATACTAATCAGAACTGTTGGATCTACAGCACAAATCTTCGGTTTTCCAGCTTAACAATTTTTAGCAATTGGTTCGCACAATAAAAGTCCTGCTAAAGCAAGAGGTGAACTCGGTCCATCATTCCCTACCAACCCAAAAGTGCACGTAGCTGTTTAGTTTCCATCCGACAACCTCTGAGTGGGACAAGGTTTGAAACTTAAAACTCCACCCGATGCCCAAGCTTGAGCATCGGTCTGATATTCGAAGAAACGGAAAAAGAAAAGTAAAGAGGACTTCACTGCCACAACTCTCCCTACATCCTTGTCAGAGTTCAAGACAGGAAATTATAAACACATGGCTCCATATTGATTCTGTCAATTCAAAAGATTGTGAGTGCCCGCCTTCTCGCTCACGCTGAAACTTTGATACATGCTAAACATGCACCAAATCCCCACGCGAAACTTTGTTGAAAAGAATGTGCTATTGAGGGTTCGGAGGGGACCCAGCATGCGACTAGCAATCATGTATGGAAACGTACAACAGGCTTTCCCAGTACAAGAGAAAGCTGCGCGCCATCTTCGGCAAAAATTCTGTGATTTATCTACTGAGTCTGCTCTTTCTACGAGACATGATGCCTTGGATGCAGAGAACAAGGTTCTACTAATTTAAAAATAATGATATAGGTGGATGTCAGACCACGGCAGCGGTAGCAGCAAGAACTCCGATGGCGAAAAGAACCCTACGAAACAGAAGGGAAATACAAACAATCCTCCAATTTTCCTACAAGAGCAACAACCCTGCTGCTGACTCGACCATTGAAGAAGGGTCCAGTTGACAGAGCGGCCCGCGTGGATGGGCCAATTGATACATAGTACGGACTCAGAGGAGGGTAAAAACAGTCTTAACATAACCTGAATTTTTCGACAAGTCACGACAAATAATCTTGTGGAGGCGTAGATATCTCAGAAGAGTAGCAAAAGAGAGGATAGTGTACGAGCAAACCTTCCGAATCATATAGGAAGCCATTCATAACACAAGTAATCAGCTGAGACTATCATCCTATAGAACCGTGAAAGACAAACTCGGCATGAACGCTTAAACGAGATATCTTCAAACATACAAATGAAGACAACATACCTTGGTATGAGGCCAAAGCTGTTCGGGAGAAACGTGAACTGTGCAACCCCTGTTTCCTGCTTCCCACTCCACAACAAATCGAGCCATAACTCCTGGTAATGAACCCACATACGTAAACCAAGTACTTGTGAGCCCAACAGCTTCAACCCTGAATGCACGCCTCATTACCTCCCACTTCTTCTCTCCGCCTTCGCTCCTTTCACCAATTGAGAATCTACCTCTTCCATGGATTCTAGGTCCCTTATCTTGCTCACCTTCACCCTTCTCTTGTGCTCCTTCTGCCCTCTCCTCAACCTTCTCCTCCAAAAGTTTTCTGATACCTACAGCAAACATCCGGGCACTCCACAACCTCTCCAAATCTGCCACCAACTTCTTCACGCTATCATCCTCTACGGCAGAGTATCTTAACACTAGGCCTTTCTGAGTGCAGCTAATATGAGAATCTTCTTCTGGTAGTGTTGCAAACTGCACACCGGAGCCCCAAGAAGAAGGCTTTTGCAACTGAAGCTCCCATAGTGCTTTAAAGTGGGCATCTTGCACTTCAACTTCCCAGCCATCGCTGCCGGGTTTTCCCAAACACAAACATATTTGTTGCCACCCAGCTGAATCATACTTCTTCGAGTCTCTATTCGCCTCCCTTGAGGGTAATCGAAACCGAAGGTTAGACGACGGCTTCCGCAGACCGACTTCTTCCACGTAGGGTATGTTCAGAGCATCCATCTGGCGCGTTAGACGGGCATGCTTGATACACAACCAACATCTCCTTACAACTTGTAGAAGAACAGCAGTATAGGATCCCATTGGGGCTTTCCCCTGATTTGCTGCAACTACAATTGTGGAGTAAGGTTGACCAACGAAAGAGTCAAGTACTGGCAAGGTTCTAAAAGAAGTAACATCTGCAAGCTGGCCAACAAGTGATTGGCTGCCCTCTTGCTCTGTCTTTCTTCTCTTCACCTTTTCTCCACTTGTAGCCACTGCTTGGATAGAAGGAAGAGAGAACAGGAGCTCAGGTCCAGACCGTTTTCGCTTGAAAAAATCCGATGGCAACTTTTCCGATGACTGTGGGCCGCGATTATAACTATGGCCTTGTACTCCAGTAGCCGGTCGAGTTGATGGCGACAAAAGCATGGATGGCGACTGTACAGCTTGGGAAGATTGGTCAAGATCCATCCATTCTGCGGCTAGTTCACCTGCTTGAGAACCAAGGGGTTTTCGAGGTGAGCTCAAGCGGGCTAATACAGTGGCTGTTTGACCACTTACTCGGCCCGATGATAAACCTTGGAGAGAAGAACTTTTCGTTTGAGGCGTTCTTGGATTCATTGCTGGACTTTTCACCATAGGTAAAGACCTCGTCAATCCAACTCGAGGTTGTCGGGAAGCTAGGGGAACCGGTTCACCTGCTGGAGACGTATGAGATGCTCCCGGGGGCACGCCAGGGGTCTTCGAAGATATAGAATCTATTAGCTTCGAAATGTCATCGTAATCCAAATCGATAGGTGATGCGGCACTCTCACCTGCATGCAAAGGAGACTTGGACTGCAACACATCCTGCTCTCCTTGGTACGGTGACTTTAAGCTTGTCACACCCCTATGCAATGGGCTTCTCGCAGGGCTTGCCATAATTCCGTTCCCTATCCGACCAACTCTATGATTAGATTGAAGAAGCGAACTAGCTGCTAAAGAAGAGTTTCCTGGTGAGAACCCGGCGTTCGGTCCTTGATTAATGATATTAGAACCTGCATATTGAGGGTTACTTGCAGCCATGCCTTGTAAACCTGATGGAGATTGAATAGGAGAGAAAGAAGGTGACAACGGATTGTTCGTCCTAGAGAGATGTGCTGCAGGTGATCCTCGATAGAACTTTTCACCAGTTAACTCCGTTTGAACACTCTCAAGCACTGTGCCACCTGTAAGGCTCCTTCCGAAGCCCCGAGAATCAAGAACTGACACTTCAGTCTTCTTCCCAACAAACTCCATAAGCTCTTTTCCAGTTCCCTTTTTCGAAACATTCACAGCTGAGATCGTTTGGCGTTCTAACTCCAACCGACCTTCATCTAGAAGACTGAAGCTGGCGTCATCTTCTGTCACCAGCATTGTCTCTATATTCACCTTCATGCAGCGAATAATGTTTATGGGACCTGATGAGAAAGTTGAACGCCCCGAGAGAGTCCGTGGTTGAGCTTCCAACAGCATAAAGAACGGCATAAAATTGGAGTCAAGATGCAACGACAGAAAATAGACCTCCCCACAGTTGGGGAATCCCAACACCAATACGTCCGGACCTAGCTTAGGACCATCTGAAGGAAACTTCAATGCTAAGGCACCTCTCTCGTAGATCTGCAATTACATACACACACACACAAAAAAAGCCGGTAGTTAACTACCGCACCCGAATTTATATGCTCAGTGAACACATCTACATTATCGACCGCCGCAACAAAAACCTGAAAGAAGAGGTACGTCGTTCTTTCAGAAAAAATCACAAGAAGAGTTCTGTTTGGAATCAATTGCACGTCCTAAAATGACAAAAAATACAGATTCTTAACCAGCTTTCCCGCTTCATTACCTTCAAGTTGAAATTTGTTCCTAAAGATGCAAACACATGTAGGAGACTCCTGCTTCGAAGATTAAGGAATATGTCGACTGGATCCTTTGACCCCTGATTCAAAGCATCTTCCATCTCCGCCAAAACTGAATTAGCCAGCAATGTGCTGGGAGAGCGAATCAGAAAACGACCATTCCTACAAGAAAATAAGACAATAGCTTCGTCAGTGATCCAAGCTCTGAGTGTAAGTGCGGTTCAAATAAATGTATCTGAAACTTCGAGCCATAGTTCTCTCGCAACATGCATTCTCAAAAGTAATCTCAACATTGGCACGACTCGATTTGCTACATAGTGTCAAAAGGTTGACCGATGAAGTCCTAAAAAGTAGTAAAGATTATACAGAAAGATGAAGATCACAACACAACCACTGGCTTTACGCTTCAAGACAAACATGTGGAGATAAGTAATCCAAATCTGAACTTCACATCCGTTCAAAGCCGTAAAAAACTCGACAGCAATCGAAGCAGCCAGCTGCACGAGTTCTGGCCGTCACGACACCTATTTAGGATTTCACAGTTCACAGAAAACCGGGAGACAGGACAGCTAAGAACCACCGCACACCTTATGCTGATGCCGAGAGCCATAAATGAGTCCCCGTAGGCACGTACACAAAGAACTTCTTCGCCTGCTTCCCCTGAACTTCCAGAACTATTATTCTGTACATAGAGCACACAACCTGTCAGCTTTCTCGTGAAGGCTTCGTCAACGAACTACAGCCATGACCAGAAAGAGCAGCATAGGCAGCTGTAAATAGGGAAGATGCCTACATGATCGGGAAATAAAAAGTCAAAGCCTCATGCCAGTCCACTTAGTAGTACCTCGTAAGAGAACAAGTGTATGAATAGTAATTAAAGATGGCGAATGTACTCAGTCTTTCCAACTGAGGTACAAGTGCAACAAAACTTCTGATATTCTGAACCAAGTACAACAAATTGGCAAACTCTACGGGACGAAAACAACTTATCACGTAACAACAGCTAGTTATGTCGCCACTGTGGTCGTTCTACTGAACATGTGCCCTTTTTGTCTCGTCCTCCTTGCAGTTGGTTTCTAAGTTTCATGGAGCAGATGATACCCTGCTAAAACCCTTTCCCAAAAGGGATTGTTAAATTCAACCCCGAGTTGTTAAATTCACTCCCCGTAGATTTATCACGTAAACAACAGCTAGTTTTCCGAAGGGGATTGTTAAATTCACCCCCGAGTTGTTACATTCACTCCCCGTAGATTTATCACGTAAACAACAGCTAGTTATGTCACCACTGTGGTCGTTCTACTCACTCCCCGTGGATTTATCACGTAAACAACAGCTAGTTATGTCAGCACTGTGGTCGTTCTACTGAACATGTCCCTTTTTGTCTAGAATATGACATGTTACAGCTCGCCCTCCTTCCAGTTGGTCTCTAAGTATCATGGAGCAGATGATACCCTCCTAAAACCCTTTTCCAAAGAGGGTTGTTAATTCACTCCCCGTTGCGGCAGTTGTCATGGCAACAAAGCTATTGAATTTGAATGACGATGGGTTGCAAAGTATCATGTTGCATCTCTCTTGCAAATTTAATGAGGATTACCTCCAAAGGCAGATTCAGCTATCTCAGAGCCAGCACTACTATTTCCTGCACCAGGCACGATCTTTTCTGGCAATACACCATCCAAGCAAATTTGGGGGAGTGGCTACCTTCTCACTAGTCTCTGTTTTTAGATGACAACTGAAACAACAAAAACTTCTGAGTATAATTTTGACACATTTTAGCACAAGTCGGCACGGACATCCAGCGAAAGTCAACCAACGATCTGTTGTTGACCAGTCAACAGAATCCAACGTCCCTTTTTTCGTTGCTATCTTCCAAAAGATAACAACCGAATAGCTTTCAAGCCTAGGAGGTTTATATGCTGGAACAGGATTTGAACTGGATAACGTCATCCTCTTTCGAAATATTTCTGTGTTTTGTTAAACTCATGAGCAGTCCAGGGACTTGCTCCCTGGCCATCGGTCTGTATTGCTCACGCTAACTTCTGTAGTCAATAGCGTGGACTGAAGAACAGAACAACAGTTTTTCGCAAATGATAGAAACCTTTTGGCATATAGAGGTCTCACTACGGTTACAGCGTCTTTTTACTAGAAAAATTAATCAAATCAAATGAATAAAATTAATAGACATTACATAATACTTCAAGGAATATGATCATCTCACTCACAGTTTCACGTCAATATCATAAGATATAGATAACTTATCACCGGACTGGAAGAATATGATCAGCAAGTACATACAAAGGGCATTCGAAATGAAAACTGTTATTCCTCAATACTGCCAGAAGTATGTTCATATCACGCAGATGATAGTCATACTTGTAACTTAATGGTAGATTCAAGGCTGCCTCAAAGAACACATAATTACAGATTCTCTATGCTTCTTGAAAGTGCTATTTAAATTTTATCTAAATAAGGTTTTCATTAGCTGGATTATCTGGGTACAACTAGAGAGAAAAACATTGCTTGCATTCTGCAGACCTGCACCCACATACATATGTCTTTTTTGCTGAAAGGCACAATCACAGACAACAAAAGTGATATTTTATCTAGTAGAGACCTCTGCCTCCAGAAACATAGTATAACACTTTTGACGAGATGTTTCAAAGTGTGCAAGCTTTTGCACACAGCCAAGGCTATGCAATCTCTAAGGAGCGGCCCGATGGAAGAAAAGGAAGGTTGTTCTCAAGTGCAAAATCGCACCGGGGAAAGAAAATAAGAAGGAGACGCCTAAATCGATCCTCGCTGCGACGAGAAGAAAAATTAAGTTTTGATATGTCTTGTTGCAATGACAACCGCGACGGGGTGTGAATTTAACAACTCGGGGTGAATTTAACAATCCCTTTCAAAATCTTTTCCTATGACCTAGAAGACTGCCCAGGATTTTTCTTCCCATCGTCTCTTGCCAAAGCTTCGTATCAAGGCCAAATTGATTCAATCAAGAGAAAGTATCGAAAAAAATTCATACAGGAAACAGCTCCCAACGTAACAAGCTTCCTAAAAATATGAAAGATATTTGATAAACCAAACACTTGTGTATCATGAAACAGCTCCCAACGTAACAAGCTTCCTAAAAATATAAATAATATTTGATAAACCAAACACTTGTGTATCATGAAATGAAATCCAAGCAAGAGTTCCGCTCATTGACCGAGTCCCAAACAGAACGTTTTTTTCGAGAGAAACAAACACAATACTTGTTGCCACTCCTGGAAATGTATAAGTATCTCACTGGTATCTTTTGAATCTTCAAGGTTTTCAGTAGAATCCATTCCAAAGAGCTCATCCTGTAGATAAAAAATATGAGTTGGAAAAGATAATGTCATAACAATCGCCTCGATACTCTCAGGTTTCAAACTTAGCTAGCAGATCAAATTAACCGTCTCGCTTTAACACGTATGATATGCTTTCTCTCATGGCGCTAGTATACAACTTCGGAGGATCTGACAATAGAGGTAAAATGTGGAGTCAAATAATTCTTTCCTAACTTACACATGTCATCCAAATTTCCTGCTAGCTAGAGTATACAACTTCTGATACAGGCGGTCCTTTCAATAACGCAAATAATTACAAGCTCTCAGAATATGAAATTGCTGAACTAAATTGTGACTTTGACAGTTACTAAGGAGACAAAGCCAAATTGTCCATGAGTTTAAAGAGCACATGAAAAGTATTTCTCTATCTGAGGATTTACCTCTCGTTCAGATTTACATCTCATCTGAGACGAATTAGGAGGATTTATCTTGTGACTCTTCATTTGTGCACAATTTCCTTCAAAATAGGAGCTCTAATATATCAACCCAAACAAGCTGACGTGTCAAGAAGCTATGAAATCCAGAAAAATGATCCATTTCGTATCATACTTGAATAGTGGCCGAAATAAATAGCGAGATAGACCAAACCATCCAACTGTAGGAGAAATTTTCATGGTATAAGCCAGTTGACCATCAGGATCTCAATGCGACAATTTCCAAAAACCAAACGCCATAGCAATCACATCCAAAACGCAATAAGAAGCAGGCCATTGACTTAAGCATTAGAAGTGGGTTTGAGGGGATCTTCCAGTTCACCTCTCCGTGAATGAATTCACTGGCAATTGTTACTCCGATGCAAACAAAAGTAAGTAAAATGAAGGGTAAAGTTTGAATCATCAGATGAACTCCAATTACGAGTAGGATGACGAATAATTGTGTAGACGAGACAATACAGTCATGACAACAGAACACATAAAATACAATTGCTGGAAAAAAAGAAAGAAAAAAGTTGTTTTCGACAAGGGACCCCAGATACCCCGAAAACTTCTCTGATAGTGTGGGCGACTACACGTTCAGACGTACAGCCCAAAGGGATGCAACAGAATCAATACTTTTTGTCTACCTTTGTATTAACTCGAGATAAAATATGAGGAACCCCATAAAAGTGGTAACGAGAGTAAATTAAAGTTGGTTGCTGAATCTAAATAAAGCAGAACGTTATCCCCACAACGACTTAACCTGACTGACCACAAAAAACTGGACCTTTTATCGGGCCAGTTAGAAATTAATGTATCGAATGAGTACACTGAACCACAATGAAACGCTTAATCGTCTCCAAACAATATAAAGACGAAACGAAGAGAGACAAACATTAACATGGACCAACCCGCAGACTCAGGATATCTCATAACGTAAACAATTGGAAGAGTTAAAACACAGCTATATCCGAGAAGTGCAATCCACGCAAATCACTAGTCCCCACAGACAACGAGAAGATGTCCATGTCGAAAACCTCAACCCATAAGCTCTGTAATATTGTACGCCTAGCGAAAGTTCAAGAATTGCCAGGGAATACTCTTCAGATGTTTCGGCATTGAGATTCTTGCTCGCAAACTCCTAGCCATAAAACATTGGTTAACATCCAGTATCAAGCCCAGTGGTAGTAATTTCTTATTTAGAAGGTTTAAAGATGTATGCTTTGATTGAGCGTGCAAATTACTACAGTCAAAACTCGATAACCTCGTACATAAGGATATTTTTTGAGGTCTCGTAGATTTTAGGCGGCAGAATAAGGATACCTTGGCCGTAACGATATCCTTAGTGATTCACGGTCCCAATTTCTCGATCTCACATATTTTGACCTCGACGCCTATCCTTACGTCTAAATCCACAACAACACAACCACCAAAATGGACGACAGGAAACAGCATAGAGCCACGGGCGATGTTGAGAAATGCATTATACGGAATCGCTTTCAGTCCAATACCAGTCAATCACACCATATAGTAGCTGACTGGGTAACGAAGAAGACTGACTACTCGGTTACACAGGGCCATAGTTGCTGACTGGGTAACGACGAAGACTGACTACTCGGTTACACAAGGCCAGATCGGTTACAGAAGGACACAAGAGGAGGATGTCGAAGTTATAACTACGGTGGAAGCATTAACGTTTGTATAGACGGTCAGGCTTTTGAAATTACAGAAGGGGAACATTCGCAATATGCGTGCAATAGATTGTTACAAGATTTCTACAGCTATTCAGACTACACTCGACAGCTTTTTCACGTCTAAATAGGACGTCTTTAATATAAGGATACCTCGACATATCCTTATAATCTCACGGTCCCGATCGTATCCTTATATCGAGTTTTGACTGTATCCTCAAAGTTTCAGTCTTCAAGAGCTGGATGTGCCGACTAGATGTAGAAAATGTGAGAGAAAATGGTCGAATCTAGGCAGAATTTCAGCTACAATGAAAACCGAATTCAGGTCTCAAGATAACCTTTACTCTTCACAAGGGTGAAGGGATAGACTAAACCGTGGAGAAAGAGAAGCGTGAAAAAGAAAAAGTTGAGACGTAGGTAGCTGAAAGTCAAAATAAGTATTGTCGTTTACCGAAAGTCAGGCAAAAAAAACTCTTTTAATCCTCTCAACCTCCTCTTCAGAGAAAAATCCGTTCTTTAAATCCAAACGTTTCTGGACTCTTTACCAACCTCGGTCCCGAAGGAGGCTTGCAGGGTATTGTTTCGATTATTTCTCGTCAAATAGTATATTCTCTTCCTTCGTTCATCTTCCTCGGGAGCCACTCAAAACACGCGCCAAAGACAAATTCTCCTTGTTACCTTCTTCATCTTCCTCCAAGACTCACTTTCGTGTTGATTACTACTGTAAGGCACTGAATCCTTGTATGGTTATGTGAGCTTCATGACGAAAGGCATGTGTAAACATAAACTTTTATGCTCAACTTCGTCCCAAACTAGACGAAGGGCAGCTTGGAAAAAATTAGCTAACCTGGAGCACTCGATCCTTGCATTTAGGAGCAATTTGAAAGAGCAGAGATCATATTTTCGCCCAAAAGGTCCCTTGAGTAATAGAAGAGTTAGTGGCTATACGAATGAACGTTACAAAGCAAAATAGAAAAGATTATAAGTACTCCTATATCAACTGTTGGTAGAAGAAAACACTGCCCAAAAGGAGCTACCTCAGAGGAACAGGTGCAAGAGTCAGAAAGATCCTAAATTGGACTACCTGAAGACATGCAGTTTTTTAGCTTACTACAGTATGTTCATAGAAACAATACGTCATTAAATGTAATATAGCTAAACGTGCGAACAACCATGACACGATGCTATGATCGGTGACTAGGAGAGAACGCATTTTCTGTAGGTTAGACATCAACAATGCCTACGTCGCCACAACATTGAGGTCACCGGAGAGACTCAATCTTGAAAAGCTACTTAAACATTCCCGCTTGAACAACTGTAGCCTAAACAGGACAATGTTGCAGATAGCAGGGGTATCAAAGTAGAGAAGATTGTTGAAGAAACCAGGAATACGTACGCCAAAACCATTTCTTGAGATAGTCATAAAGGGATGGCAAAGGCAAATTACCTCGTCCGGTGATGGAGAACTCTTGACTTCTCCATCTTCGGAAAACGAAGATCTTAAAACAACATCACAGTCCACTCTCCACAACTGGTTGCTTCCCTTCAAACCTCTTTGAACTTCCAATAGTCTGGTGTGTATGTTACAAGCAATTGCCCTCAACAGCAATCGCTCCACGTCAATACAACTTTGGTCAATGCTAAATTCTGCTTCACTCTCCGTGGTAGGATCAATTACAGAAGGCTGATGAGAACACACGATGTGTTGATCTGGACCTGGTTCGATTCTCAAATGAGGGGGAGAATTTGGATCTACACCCGAGATTCCTCTGGGGCAGTCCAACCAATACCATATCCTGAGTCCAGGTGAGCCTCGAGACTTAGCCCCAACCCTCTCCGGGTCACTATCTCCTGGCGGTCCAGGTCCTTGACCTGTACCCTGCCCAATGCCTACTCCTTGGCTGATATTAGAGGCTTCTGAAATTTTTTCAAACCGGATAGCATCCTTCCAGCGACCTTGACGTAGCATTCCTGTCTGCCTGAAAAGAGTATCCATGACCAAAGTGGTGCAAAACTCATGCAAAATAGAGAACAAAATCCTGAAAGGATCATCTGAAGCGGCCATGCGGCGCTCCAAGTCATCCCCCAGAGCCAGCCGTTGATGGTCCGTGAACTTCGTAGGACCCGTGCTTTCTCCAACCAGCAGCTCCAGATGTAATATTCTCCACAAGTGTAAATGACCACGATAGCCAGCTGTAAGCTGCACCTTGAATTCTCCATCAACTTGCAGGATAATCCTTCCTTCTGACACGGTTATATCCGAGATCTCTTTCGGAAGAGAAATATCTAGCAGTCTTGATCGAAGCATAGTGTCCAATTTCTGAAGAGCTTCTTCCCGCTCTTCTCCAGCAAGCATGGGCTGCATTCCCAGTTCCTCGATACATTTTGGAAGCCTATTATACTGTCCTGTAAGCAACACCTCTGCTGCGGTAGGAATATCATATATAGGAGCCCGAGCCTGTTGCAGGCCCTCATGCAAGAAAAAGAGAAAGTCTGCTGCCTGAGTGAAACTCGTATCATGATTGGAGACGGTCCCAGACAGCTGCTGACAGCGCTCAACTAAAGGAATCTGCACAACAAAGACAGGGTAAAACTTAGTAACTACTAAGCTGAATGATTTTTCCCTACAGAAACTGAAGGTACTGACTAACTAACACCGACGTCACCAGACGCTAAGTGGCCACAGAGCGGACCGACTCTTTCTGAGGTCTATAGATGTGTCCTTATATGATACACATGATACAGCCCGAGAAATCTGCTTAGTCCGCAACCCCGGTTGAACCCCCGGTCCCGAAAATGCAAGATGGCGGGTCCTCCTTGCGTAAGGTGATTAGCGGATACTCTCTACTTTATTCCGAATATGTGGTCTCGTGAAAAATGTTTTGGCTTCGGTGACCACAGCATCAAAGGTCAGTCAGCCCACGGCTGAGACGCCTTGCATAAATCAGGAGTACACATATACTAAGTCCCACAAAGAGCCCCGCAAAAAAAAACTCCGCCTAACGGTAGCTGCTCCTCGAGAACCACACTCATGTGCAATAGCTAACGCAGGTGTAATCCTCGGTAATGAACCTTAAAAGTAAGGTTCATGGATTACGAGTATGCTCCTTCCCAATAGCCAGAAAAACCCTCAAGTGTTTCATCTGTAGCAAATCAAATCCTTTATCGAGGAGAACAGGTCCACAGCTTCGTCGTTGCATCAGGTTGTTTGGCAGCACTACAGTCAGGTTACGGAGCTGAATTTCTTCTTCCAGGGACTTCCCGGTTCCTGTCACATGCACAGAGAAGAGTGGAAAAATAGGACACGATGGAACGGAGATGAGCTGACCTGGCGGCACCACTTGGAAAGTGAGAGCACGCGTAGCAAGCGTTGGCGAGTCCTAAGAAAGTTCTTCAATAAGCTAAGTTTTCTTTCTGAATCCGATTGTTCTTGTGCAATTCCTGCAAGTTCTCTTAGAGAAGAGAAGGCGTCCTCCGCTGTCCTCTTTACTAACAAAGAAAAGTCAACTGTCTGCTGCCCGGGAGTGTTTCCCACTCCCTCCGCCATTGCGCCCAACACTGTCAGCTACCTTAAGCACCAGCGTCGTTTCCCCGCTGTTCTACCTCTTAAAACTCGACCTTCCACGTCGTCTCCTTGCTCCTCCTCCTCCTCCTCCTCTTCTCCTTCTTCTGCCTCCTCCTCAGCGACTATCTCTCCTCGTCCCTCCCTCTCACTCTCCTCCATCACTCCGGTTGCCCTCGTCCATGTGGCTCCCAAGAATTCCGCGAAGAACTCATACTCTGCTCAACAGCGACCAACCATAATCGAACCCCAGCCTCACTGAAGGAATCGCCCCTGCTCCTGGAACGCTCACTTCATCCCATCGCTGCTGCTTTCTCATCTCCTCGTGCCCTGTCCGGTCAAAATTCCAGTGCCCACCTGACGCCTCGCAGCCCCATTGCGGCCTCCGGGCGCACTCTGCCAACGCTCCCAAAATTCGCCCTTCAATTCCCCCATCTCATCTCGCTGCCCCGCCACGCCAGGCCACCAATCCTGCTCCTGCTCCTGCTACTACTCCAATTTCCACCTATTCCTCTACCGTCCGCGTTGGCCTCTAGGGTTCCTGCTTTTTAGGTCTTGCCAGGAGCTCGTCCTGCTCTCTCGCACCTGCCTGCAGCACTCGCACTTCCCTCTCCCCTCTTCCGCTTCCGCTCGCACTCTACTCGCACTTCCGCTCGCTCGGGCTCTCCTCGACCTCGAGGGAAAAGCTCAGCTCCTCCTCCTCCTTCGTCCAACGACGTCGTCAACAACTACAACAATTCCTCGTCTCCCCACTTCCCTTCCCTCCCCCCTGCCCCTCCCCTCCCCTCGCTCCTCGTCTTCTCTCGCCCTGCCCACTGCCCCTCCCCCTCCCCCTCGCCCTCTTCCTCTCGCCTCGCGCTCCCTCCCTCCCTCGGGCCCGTCATCGTCTCCCCTTCCTCCGTTCCCGTCTCCCCTTTCCGCCTTACCCGTCTGTTACGTTACCGCCCTGTCCGATTACTTTCCTCGCCGGTCATTTCCGCGTCCCGGGACCCCGCTCGCCTCCCCCCTGCGCCCGCGCCCGCCCGCCAACTAGCCAGTCAGCCAGTCAGCCAGCCAGCCGCGAGAGGAAAAGGCCGGCCACATTCAAACGAGCGACGCCGCGCCGAGTGTCCGTTATTCAGCGGGGTACCGGCATTACCGACTGCGGGATCGAGAAAGGCTCCGGCCGGGCGCGTGCGCGTCTCCGCCCTTATTACTGACTGACTTTCGCTCATCAATGGCCTCGTCCTGGTGACACTTGTGTGCTCGCGCGCTCAGACGAAGAGCCCTTCGAAGACTCGCAGGACTTGGACGTCGAGACAAAAGTGCTCGTCATGTGCCTCGTCCCATTGGTTAACTCGAGCTCTCTCTCATGACTCGTGCCCCTCGTCCCGATCGAGTACGTTTCACAGGTCTTCCTCTGGGCAGCTTGCGGTTGCCCTCTCGCTCTCCCACATGACGGAAACCTCCGGCAGCAGCAGCTGCTGTCTTCCCTCCCTCGCAGATCCCATTCCGGCACCCTTCTCCAGTGCCTGGCGGTTGCCATTTGAAGTTCGTTGAGTGTCAGCAGTTCCCACCCACGCGGTTCCTGTGGTCCGTCTTTACGTGGTTGGCCTCTCCTCCTCCTCCTGACACCACCGGCGACCATCTGTGACCATCAGTGCAGGCTCGTGCATGGTCCAGACAACATTCTTCTCCGGGGAGCCCCGTCTGAACGCAACATTTGTGCCATTTTTCTCACCCGTGTGCTTACGAAGAGTTGGAAGATTGTAATGTTCCAAAAGCTCTTGCCTATGTTTGCGTTGTGCGGCCATGCATCTCCTGGAAGCTAATGATTCCCCGGCAGGAATCAGTGGCAGCTGCTATGCTCGCTTCCCCTGGACACAGTAGACGGCTTCATTCTCTTACAGCGGCCACGACATTAGCTGGTTTTGTCGAAATGTATTCGGTATGCGATTGAAGTCGTAGATTTAAGCCTCCATGCCATGCTTGTAAGTCGCAGGAAAAACACCTCCTACAATTATTATTTATCACTGTACGACGTCGGCTAAGGTACACAAATGATGGGGCGAAAGGGGATCCGATGTACTCTGCAAAGTGTGATCAAGGATGCCCATTATTAAATTGTAATGTGAGTGAAGAGGCTATGATTCTTTCAAGTTGAACGTGGATCAGTGATTCACTTTGAACGAGTCAGGCCTCCACTTGACGAGAAGTCTTTTCCTTCGGACACTCATGAGTCTGCATTTACACCATATCTATCTCCTGTTAGATAAAACAATAATCCTACAGTCGTGATCGTAGTATTGCATCCAATTACACATATATTTGGACACATTAGTTTACAAAGAAGTTGTTAAGAAATGGATTGATAAGTTGTGAGGTTTCTTCTTCTTGTGCTATTCTAAACTATGAATCTTTTCTTGTACTGCGTATTTATTTTTTCTAGTGACAGAGCTTCTCATGACTTTTGTGAATCAAGACACATTGAACTCTCCAATCTACCTTTAGTGAGAATGAATCTCGAGATTCTCGCGGTGAATATTGTTTATTTTAAACTTGAAGTTCTTAATGTAATATCATGAAATACAATATGTAAGTATTCTACACTAAATGTGTGAAACGTCCAGATTATTATCACTCTTTGCTATTACAACCATCATTAAAATTTATTAGTAAGGATTTGTGCACCTTTTTTGCCCTTTTTAAGAGGGCAAAAAATTAAGAGGTTTAGTGTTGAAGGAGTTGATGGCACGGCTATAATGATCTAGAAAAGTTTTAATCTACTTCAATTTTGATTTTCACATGATGGCTTTGTTGTTTAGACACACATTTCTAAGAATTATCAGAGTTTTTTGTTGCATCTGTTTATGACTCTCATTCGGATGGATCTCGAGGTATTCACTATGGATCTAGCAGTATTCACTAGAATCAACTTCAGACTAGTGGTGTGACTCAAAGAAATCATATTTTTCTACACTTCAAGCCAAGCACAATTTTATATATCTAAGACAAGAAGGTTCAAAAGCTCTTGATCATATACCCACCAGATGATTATTGTAAAAATTCACGCAAGATAAAATACAAAAGCGAAAGTCAACACACATACATAATCTCATTCTTTTCTTAGATCCACAAGAACACACGGATAAAATGTTTGCACAAGGAGTAAATTGTTTGCACTAAATAATTCAACAAAATCACAATTAATCTGCTAATATCCTATATCAACTACTTATTACATGAATTTCATCACCACTGAAATTGGATCGTCGACACACCGTCATCATTTGCATTACTTCTAACAAGATAGGCTAGATTCAATAGGTTCTATGTGTCGTATGTTAGCAGTTGGATGGTTCTCATATGACATGGTATGCATCATGCAAGAAATGCTTTGTTAGATCACCTACGTATTTCTATTTCTACTGTTGTTGACTAAGTAACATTGTGTTGTGTTCATCATAAACTTTTTTAAAATTTAATCTACCACATTAAAATCAAAGTTAGTTATATTTTGTAAAATGTCAGTGCTAACATACATTCAAAAGATATGGCGTAAAGTTCAGTAATAGCACACCAATACTTGTCATATGTATAATCGCGGTATGAAAAAAATCCAAAAATTGTGTCACACAAATATAAAAACATAGATGTAAGCTTAAAGATCATGAAACATGAATATATATATGTTCTAATCTGAGATCTCGAATCTTCAAATCACCAATTCTCAAGAATTTTTTTATTCAATAATTTTTTGACTTGATTGATTTAACTTTAAAAAACAAATGAAAACACATAACAGTACATGGAGATCAAGCTTTGATTCAAAGTTACACATCTTAGTCTTGATGATGCTCTTATTATATATATTTTTCAATTTTCACATATAAAATTCTATCAGTACACAAATTCTTTTAATTTTGTTAAAATTTTAAAATTTCACGCATGATCAAGCTAAGATTTTGTGCTTGCTGAACAATATAATGCTTTTTTTTACAAGGCTCACTACTAGTTTACATATCTTAAACTCATGGGTAAAATTTGAGAAAACAAAAATGTGTTCAAACATTATATGTTACTTTAACTCTTACCTTCAAAAAGATCAAACATGTGTTCTTAATTTTTTTTCTAACAAGACACCTGATATTTATTGAGCTTTATTAAAACTCTTCAATAAATAAATCTTTTTTTAAAAAACTATAACTTGCCATGTTTCACAAATTTTGAAAGGATTAAGCTTTTGCTGAAACAATTAAATTATGAATGATGAAAATCAATTTTAAGACCAGTAACAAGATTGATATTGGACACTTCAGCATACTAACTATGTTAACTAAAAATTATTATATCATCGCACAAAATTATTGCAAGCAAACTTCATTTTCTTGTTCCAACAATCATTTCTTCTTAACATTTGTTGCGATATTAAGAAGTTTTTGAACAAATGGAAGATAGCTCACAAGTAGCAAATTTAGACTAATGATGTTGCTTGCAGAATATGGAGAAAAAAAAAGTCATTATTCATCATCTTGAAGAGCCAAGCCATCACTTGCATAGAATAGCAAGTGATTCTTGAATAAAAGAATAAACTAATGACAATTTATTATATTAGTGGGACTAAGTAAAATATCTTACTAGAAAAAAGTATCATTGATTTTTGGACTGGACTAGAGGTATATTTTTGTTCATAAATAGAATGTTGACTTTTGTGTGAAGTGTATTTACTTTGTGTAGATGTAAAGTCATTGTTGTGTTTGTAAAGCAAACAGCTAGCAATTTAAAAGTATCAATTGTATCAATACTTTTAACTTCAGATAGTTAAGTATTTCAAAAAGATCTTAATCATTCCTAGATAATATAGTTCAGAGTACAATAAGCCAACACTCACTGTTCATTTTACTATTTCTTAGACTTTCCTTCTCATGCAACCGTAAGATGTAAACTACAATGTAGTGAGATTGAATTTATGCTTGAAGGCATGTAGAGACATCAGTGGATGAAAGAGTCATTGTTACTAAAAAAAATATTTAGTTACAATCATTGAATACCAAAAATTTATTTGTCTATTCAAAGTTTTTCTTGAAGTTGTTTTTTGGAAGTTAGATTGATCTAAATAGAATGTGAAATGCCAAGAAACATTTTGAAAACTGCTTTGAATAATTCCACTTGGATTGAAGTGAATGAAGAGTAAGTTGACGGCATCTCTAACCTAAAATTGCCTTTTCAGCGACGGAATCAAAACTCTAGACTATAAGTTACAATAGAAAGGAGAATTCTAGCATATAAGAGATTTTTGTTATCTCAAAGATCACACTTTAAGTACAAATGACCACATGACAAGCTCATGGACACCAATTAGACTGTGATTGATGATAATATCTAAGATAAGTTTCAACAATATGAATGAGACAAGATACGGCAAATACCTACAAGAGTAATAGTGAACCATACTTACCTATGGCACATTATGCTTATATGTGGCTTAAATAAATACTTTGTTACTCTTGTCAAGTTTCTTATTTAATACTCTTCTACCAATGTGCAATTTAATGATTATAAAACGTTTTGTTTTCGTCTGAAGAGAAAATTTTGTCAAGATTGTACTCTCATTGCCACTTGATTGCTCTTAAGTCTTTGATCTATCATATGAAACATATGTTTTGTTATTGGTTGTCTTCATGACTTCAAGATTAGCGAAACTGTTCTTCTCAATAATTCTATTTTTGAATACATAGATGTTTTTCTTTATGATTTCTTAAGAATCTAGATGGAGCTAAAAAAATCTA